AAGATGATCTGCATACAACGAAGTCGTAGCAGTTGTCTTGATGGGTGAATCGCGAGGCGATAAAATCGCGTGATGTATTTCCGGCCCTTAAGGGCCGGGCATACTTCAGTCTTTTAGTTTTTACGCATATATACCCTTCATCTAGTATCTTTATGCACGCTTACTGTAATTTTTCTAGTGCTATAAATTGAAAAGCAGAAATAGGCTAAAATAATAAAATGTCGTTTTTGGATATTTTTACGCTAATTTCGAAATTTCTCGAAAACTATCGCTCATAGATGGCTAAAAGTTTGTGGGTATATCTCCAAAGGCTATGCTATAGAACTGACTATGGGGGAGCATCTCAACGTCGCTTCGAAAATAAACATACAAAATTTAGTTTCTTCGGTTGCTAGCAACGGAAAAAATGCAGCAAGATGCTTATAAATGCTGGATGAGAGGTACATGCGTGAACAAGTTAAAGCTTTTCAGGAGTTTTTACAGCAAAATTCTGGTATTTTTCGAGTTTTCGGGTTTCTGAAACTTTTCAAATTTTGATTTTCACTTAACGTGACAGACTGTGTGCGAAAGTTTGGGCGTCACTTTGTAGAGCTTGCTTTGCTCTATCAAAAAGTACCCAGTAGCTTTTTTGATAATCAAGAAATATTGGAGTTATCGGGATGAAAAGTGAAGGACAATTTGATATAACATCCCTCTTTCTCACTGAATTCCCTACTTTTTCTTGATTGACGTCAGACTTTTTTCAGTCCTTGAACGCATGAGATATCAGCGGGAAACTGGTCGCTTCTGCGATGTATGTATAGTCGTGAAAGACCGTCAGTTTTCTGCGCACCGCAACATATTGGCATCGTGTAGTCCTTATTTTGACTCAATTCTGAAATCTACAAAAGTAACGAAGGAGCAGGTGCGTTGAATGGATATTCTGAATAATCTGCTACTTCCTGCGTCTTCTAGGTCGTAGTAAATTGTCAACATCCGAAAGCTTTTGAATTGCTTCTGAACTATATGTACAGTGGTTGCGTCGTCATTGACCGTACTACCGTGGCGGAACTGCTTCGACTAGCTAACAATTTTTTGGTAAGACAGCTTCCACATGAGATAATCTAGGAAAAAGTCCCTTTTCAGGTCACCAAGCTCAAGAATTACTGCGCTGAATATCTCGACAGATATTTGGATGCTGCAAACTCATTGTCGGTACGGCAACTTGCGACGAAGTATAACCTCCCTTCTCTTCTGAAGGTTGTTTTCACTGACCTTAGAAATGAGTTCTGAATCAATCTCTCTAGGCAGCGTCAGAGTATTTTGACGTCAATATCAATCGGTGTCTTCTTGAGTCGGTGGACATTCTAAAGTATCCCATGCAGCAGCTGCTCAAGATATTGGAGGACCCAAAGTATCAAGACGTAATCAGCCCTGATGTGTACCTCAAGTGAGTAACTTGATCAGTCGGTCTTCAAATGGTTTCTTCCTCGTTCAAAATTCGTATCTTAAAAGCTCTCAAGTGTTTCACAGCCTATTATGTAAGCTCAATTGCAATGACCATAGATTTTTCCCCTTCACCCTAGCTTTGACAGACTAATCGTACGCTGGGTCGGCGAAGATGTGGCGAGTAGAGAATCTTCGTTCCGTCCCTTGTTGGAACGATGCCGCGTTGTTGACGTATCTGATAACGCTTTGGAATTTGTCTTGGATTACTCGCCTTTGTTGACCAAAAATCAAAATTGCCGTTACATTCTTCTTGGCGCCATGTGAGTTCTAAGTATCAACCAATTGAATTCTTATTTCTAAGTTCTAAGTTATTCAGGCACGCGAACGCCATTCCTATGCCCAAATACGAACAACAATTTCTTTCATTAGCGCAACAATTTGGGGGAGAAAGTGCTGCAGCTGCTTTGCTTGAAGCCAATGTTGCTCTGGGTGCAGGAGATGAGGATTACGAAAATGACTCTAGGTAATTTTCTCTTCTGATACGATAAGTTTGCTATAAAGGTCGTCGTAAGAACCTCTCAATGAAGCTCTTTCTCGTCTCGGTCACCAACGTATTGTTGCGATCACTAATCACTATATTAAATCATAAAATGTAAGCTGCAAAAATAGTTTGCAGTTTTGACCATATGGAAGACGAGGATGATGACGAAACGCCAGTTGAGGGCCATCCCAGCACAAGCACCATAGTTGGTTTTATACTAATTATGTTATAATAATTTCTTTTCAAAGACTCTTACCGCACTTCTACGTCTTGACGATTACTGACGATTGTTTTCCACTCAAAATTATGTTTTGTACAACACTGATAGAAAATTCGCCTCAGCTCGAGACCACTTACACCGAAGACGGAGTTGAAAAACCGAGAGTTAGATTGAAGATCAATCTGGGAGGTTTGCCTTTGGCGGACATAAGTAAAAGGGGGTACGTTGATCACTTATGGCTCCTTTTCTTTTCTTCCTTCGAGCAACTGTTTCGTAGTAGAGGAAAAGTCATACGAAAGCCCGCTTCTAATGCTGTTGCGAGGAAGAGAGGGCGCCCTCCAAAAAGAACGGACGAAAACGAAAGTGGGTGCTTTCAAATTTTGATTGTAATTATTCGTAACCTACTTTCTCACAGTCTTACCTATGTTGGATGACGACGATGTTGATGGTGTTTATGCCACGTCTTCTCTGACTGGAGCTGTCACCTATACTCAAGAAGATGCCATCGATCCAGAAGAAGTGGAAGATGGAGAGGATGTACATGTAGAAGGAGGACCACACGCATGCAAATTTTGCAAATTTGCAACGACATCGGCTGAGGTGTGGTGGTAGATCTTCAGTTTCTTTTGCTTTCGGTATTGATATCTTTTCAATGACACTTAGGAAGTGGAAAAACATCGCGCTCGTCAGCACAATCGTAACACCGGGTATATGTGCCAGCTGTGTGATTTCGAATGTATCTGGAGTAAATCGTTCTATGAGCACTGCAAAGAGCACTGGGTTAGCAACTTTCTCTCAGGAAAAGCGATAGAGTAAAATCGTTTTGTTCAGGCTCAGCCTCCATACAATTGCGACCAATGTCCATTTGAATCCAAGGATAGTTTGCATGATCTGCTTGCTCATCGCTTGTCACACAGTACGTTCTGTCGTAACGTTTGGTCGAAAGCTCATATCTCGACAATTTCAGCATCTGAAAGGTTCTTCAAATGTCTTGAATGTGGCTTTCGAGCGAGATCCCGCACGCAACTATGGGCCCATGAAAGAATGCATAGTAGCTTAGATGAGCGACCGTTGCATTGCGAAGAATGTGGGCGAGGCTTTAATACGCATACCGCTTTGGAAATGCACTTTTCTACTCATGATGAGCCAAGGTGAGTTGGTCAAGATCCTCAGTTCTTATCTACAGTACTGTGCCGTTCTGAGATTTTTGCTTCAACAATGTTTCACAAAACTATGGCGTGGCAGGCTTTTTTCAAATTTATTTTTGCTTTCGATGAAATTTGCATTGCTCAAGCGAAGATTTTCATGTGCAGATCCTTCATCTGTGAAGATTGCGGATTTGCTACCGCTAACTCTGATCACATGACTACACATCGAAGGCAGCATACGGGAGACATGTTCTACTGTCACATTGGTAAGGGAAGCTTTACAATTTGCGGAATATCATAAATCGTAGGTTTGCTGTTTTTGAGCTGTTTATATCTTGCAGAAGGATGTGATTACTCATCACCAAAAAAAAGTCAGCTGGCTGCTCATCTTCGGACACATATGGCTGTCAGAGCACACATGTGTAAGGTTAGTTTCATTCCGCTCTTAGTTTTGTTTCCAATTTTGTTTGTCTCTTCTTTTAGTACATTGTTGGAAAAATTTAGATCTGTGGCAGAGGTTTTATCGAGAAGTCTCATTTGGTTCGGCATGAACGCATTCACTTAGAGGATAAGCCATTCAAATGTGATGCATGCGATTACGCTTCAAGTCGTCGGGATAAGCTTAAGTTATGTTTCTCATCTCTTTATGCATCGCTGTTATATTCTTGCAAAGTAGTGGTGTGTGTCGAATACTTTTTGTGAATTAGTAGCATCTTTCATGAATCATGATAACTTTTTCAGGAACACATTCTCAAGCATCACAATGGAACGGCAGCGAACAAATCTCAACGGCGTCGTTATCGTCGTGCAAAACAACTGGCTGCGCTCGCTGCACAAGTAAGTTGATTAAATGTTAATACTTCAAATCGAACTACCTTAGTTTCAGCTGCAAGATCGAGCAGCACCCCCAGAAGCCATGTTTCGTCCTATACCGGCAAATGAATCGGTGTCACAATGGGCAGAATCGCAGACATTCCAGGTAACTTCACAATGTTCTTTTCTTCTTTTCTTTTGGACGAATTTATGTTAAGGGCGAACAGCAGTACTCTCCACAAAACGCTCAGCAACAAATTACGGCAACTATCGCAGGACAAGCTGTTGCAGCTCAGCCAATCGCAGGATTTTCACCTTTACAACGACCGTACTCAGAAGCCAACCCTGCACCGCCTCAACGAGCACTTTCCCCTGGTTCAATGTCGATGAGAAATGTGCATCTGAGAGGTGCTGACTCGCCATTGTTGCAGAAGAACAATTTAGCGGGTCTGAATGATACTCCTTCACTGATAACGCCGGTTCCGGTACCGAGGTTCGGTTTAATTTTCTTCTACTTGTCTTGGACGCGGTATCTAGATCAAAATTCTCTTAGGGTGTTGTTTCTTTTTTTGGCATCACGATCGGCATTGGTTGCTTTTTCTTTGCTTTGTTGTTTTTGAATGCCCGCCTACAGAAGCTGCATTAGTATTTCAAGTTCCTGCGCAACACATCCCAGTCATTGAAAACTAGGCCACGTTTACTACTCGATTATGTTTCCGAGCTTCTGACGACTATCATCTAGACCTCTGCTCTAAAATATTCAAATATTCATTACAGATCTCCCCATAATCGCTCTGATCCTTTTGGTATGAGCACACCTACGGACCTCAACCGGCCGATGAGCTTGCCACCCTACGGTCAAATGCAGCAACCACAGACTCAGCAACAGCAACAGCAGCAAAATGGCCAATCTCAACAACAAAATTCTAGTCAGTGGATGTGGTAGCAGCATATTTATCAAGTTCTTTGCATCTGATCACTAAATGTGAGAATGTTGCTATCATTTGAATGAATCACCCTGCAAGGGTTCCATCAATCATGCATTGTTGTACATATTGACAATTGAGACCCTTTCTTTTTCACTGATGAAGGTTTTACCCTCTTATTTTGGATAACGATACACGCGAAATTAGGTACCCTCAACTAGACAGACAATCGGTGTGTTTTGCTACACATTGTGGAGCCGTAGCATCACTTTGCAAGGCGGGAGGAAGAGTGTGTGCTTGTAGGCTGTCTTGATGAGAGTGACGCGTCATCAGCCTCGGGTGCTCGCAACCGCCTTGCCCGGGATTTCCGCCGCGCTCGCAGACGTATCTCCTGGACATCCTCCACACTGAGCAACGACTGAAGACTGGGATAACGCCCATACTTTTGCGATTACGCAAAGCGAGCGAGGCGGCAGGACTTGAAGCATTGGAACCGTGATACTCTCGCTGGCCGACAAATTCACTCTGGTAAACTTTTCCGCGGCATACCAAATACCAAAATGTTGATTCATTTATTGATCTAGTGTTTTTTCGTTTGACAGGTAACTGACCAATCCTGATGTTCGCTAGCGTAATAGTGTTCACAGTGCGACGCTCTAGGTCTGCCAAATACGGTGCTCTAGCTGAGCACTTTTTACTTGCAGCTAGCTAGACTGTTCTTCTGCCGTCGGTCATCGCGTCATTGTCTGTTTATAAAAGAGATTTAATCCATATCTGTCACTGAGATGCAACAAAAAAAGTGAACAACGTTAGCAGTCGGAACCTATACAACTACCAAAACTAAACAAAGTGAAAAGAAATGGCCGGTGTTACGGGGCAACAACGTAGAATTGTTTCGAGACGGAAGTTTATTCATGTTGTTGTCGCTGACACTGGCTCTGAGGTTTCTTGTTGGTCAAGAATAGATTTAACCCGTCGATCTGATAATCTGCAAGTGAACTTCAGAAGCCAGACAGAGTTTGTAACTAGAGAGCCTACCCAAGAATGATAAGTGGCATGACTAGAAGAACAGCACTTAGTAGATGAAAAAAACCAGGGAAGAAAGATAGGGTTTTCGGGTAAAGATTGTTGTAAATAGCAGTGGCTAGCAGCCCTGTTACTCCTTCTAGCAATGCAATGAGCGAAAACATTTTTCCTAAACGATTTGGGTTGAAAAAGACAGTGGAGGTAACGCTATAGTATCCTAGAAGGCAGTGTCGGGGCAAGAAGTCGAGTTCGAGATTTAATGCTTACTTGCGCCTATTAGCTATGCTGCATTTGAAAATAAACACTGGACACCACGAAAACGGCGAAAAGGGGCTCCAGGTTAGGAGGGAAATCAGAAAGTGAGCGGGGCTGTTCACTCTACTAAAACACCTTTCCAACTTCTGGAGCGATCTTCTCGTTTTTGGCTTTAACTTAAGTGTTCGCACTTGGCTGGCGATGTTAGGACATCGAGCGGAAGCGAGAAGTTCGCTCCAGGGAGGATGATTACATAGGGTGAACAGTCTCGCTCACCTGCTGAATTCCCTCGCCTTAAAGCCCTTTTCGCCGTTTTCGCGCTCTCCCGTGCGGATTTTCGGATTCAGCATAGCGTGTAGGCCCAGGTAAGCAGAAAATCTCAAAATCGACTTCTTGCCCGGACACTGCCTTCGAAGTAAAATGCTACCTTACCTTGCTCGCTAGATTGAATCAGCCCAGATATAAATGACCGAAATCCGGTTGAAACAAAGCGATTGAGAGATGTGAACACTAAATAGATTTTACCCAGTTATTTTTACAGAGATACTTATTTATTCGATATCATACTGACCTATAACTGAATAAGCCATTGGAGAGTTGTATACAAAAGCGAGCATTATCAGAGCAATCATTTTTGCAGTCAAACCTGCACATCCAAGAATACCATCCGTGAATCCTTTGATGGATAATAGTGGATATACGATCAGCACCTAGATTTTGAACTTTGTAATAACATTTTCGAGTATAGCTCACACACAGTTGCTGTCGTTACTCCATATTGCAGCCCACTAAACCAGCCGTACTGCTTGTCTCCCCAACTCAGTTTGTATCGCAGGTAAGAGTATTGAATGTCCATTAAGCCTGGATTTCCATTCTTTGACAAAAATGGATATCCGGTATCTAGCCTACCAGCAAAAATAAGCAGTTCCACTCCTAGAGCAAAGAGGTTCAGATAAAGCAAGATGCGATTACTTCTCTTAGTCGTCAAGAGCTGCCAGTAATCCAGCAATGCCGCGGCTGATTCCCTTACAACTAAGGAGATGAATCCTAAACTGATAAACCTCATATGGAGACTCTTCACAAAAGACATGCAATGTCCCGAGAAAATGTACTCACTGTTCACTTGATAAGAAATTTACCTCTAGCAAACCCTATCCCCTTCACCTGAAAGCCAGATCATGTAAAAGGCTTGCCCTTTTCGCTATGATAACTCAAGTTCCCTACTTCCAAAGCGAATCATTCTACTACTCTGTGAGTCTAAGCTGCACTCTTTTGCTCAACAATCAAATAACAAAAGGTGAGTAATTCTCTACGGACATCTATGTTCCTTCAACAACCTTGATGATCTTCGTCCTCTATATTGCTAGACCGCTTCGAATCTTTTGCACAGATGAGAATATAGAAGAACGCAAATACTTGCAGAACAAGCATCAACAGAAATGTGTACGAGTATCCTAGTGCCCTGAAAACTATCTCACTCTTCAGACTAGAACAATACCTCGTTAAAAAATGGGATCACATTAGCTGCAGCCTAACAGAATTGACGGTTTTATGTAGTGCCCATGCGATCTGATAGCATTTGCGCGTAGGAAACGGCTTAACGCACATTTTCACTGAGGCCCTGGCCAGACTTCGCTCAAAAGCGCGCAAAAGCGCTCAAAAGCCCCCAAAAGCGCTCAAAAGCGCGCAAAAGCGCTCAAAAGCGCCCAAAAGCGCGCAAAAGCGCCCAAATTTTTCTGGTGTCTCTTCACTTTCTCGTGTGAGGAGAGATGAGAGAGAGTGAGGAGAGGTTAGAAAGTTTGGGCGCTTTTGGGCGCTTTTGAGCGAAGTCTGGCCAGGGCCTGACACTACCTACTTCAACTTTCAGATCTTTTGAACTATAGAAGATTAGATGCAGTTGAGCGTATAATGATCACGCCATACGTACTCTCGCTCTACTAGTACACTTTCCTACGAAAACGATTTGAGAAAACAGAGTACCGAAAACCGGCTACCTGCCCCTTTCTCCTCCACTCTCCCCTTTCTGCCCCCGCGTCTCCGCTTTTTGTAGGACTAAAAACAGGAACACTTTGGCTGCGTTCATACTGATTCCGAAATCCAGAAACAGTTCCAGCACAGCGCTCAATTCGAGCGCTGTGGTGGAACTGTTCCCGGACTGCGGGATCAGTATGAACGCAACCTTTGAGCTGACGTTATGAACTCTTGATCGTTGCATTTTACCCTACGTGTCATAAAAGGATCACGTCAACTACTGAAAAGAGTTAACTATACCAAGAATGTTAATCCGTATTAATGTCAGAAACAAAAAACAAGCTAAGAGGCGAAGTTCAGAATAGATGCTTACTCTCGGACTGTGCCAGAAACGGCGTATCCTACAGTACCTCCAAGACCAATAGCACCTTCGAGACCAGCTATTCTAATACTTCGACGAGTAGTGGATGTTGTTTTTACGCCATAACTGAGGGTTGTGGCTAAAAAATTCTTGTAAGCAGGTAACTATAGCTCATTTGAGGACGCAGGCATCATCGCCTCCGCGACTACTGGTCTTCACATGTTTACAACATATGCAATATACCGTATAACAAGCAGTCCGCGGAGGCGGTGCCTACGGATGTAAACCTCACAATATTAGAATAAAATCACTCACAGAGAACTGAGATATATCCTCCACAAATGCCAAATAGAGCATCGCTTATAAGCAGCATATAAACAGACATGCTCATGTAAACAGTTTGAACAATATAGTTCGTTGTGCAAAGGATTAGACCGAGAAACGGGATTAGAAGTGGGACTTTGATGCTCCACATATCCGCAGCTTAAGGGGCTTTGTTTCACAGTGATGTATAAACTACCAGAATTAGAATAACAATCCCCACCTCACCTGCCCCTAATGCCAGAGTTGAGAGGAGGGACGGAAGCACGAGTACGATGGATGATAAGAAATAGAAGTGATTCGCTTCAGCTTGTATGACTTTGTCGGAATAATAGGCTGATACATTCGAACATAAAGACAAGTCCTAGGAACGAAAGTTAGGAGAAGCTGAGCAAGCATTACAATACCTGGTCATGATGTGCAAGGCAGACTTTTTCGTACATCAGATTCTGGAAGACTGGGTACTTCAGAAAGCTCGTGAGCATGTAGAGGAACAAAGGGATCTCCATTCCCATATTTTTTCGAAGAAAATACATCATCGTTTGAAACATCTAGAATGAAGTCTTCATTGGTTGACCGGGAAACGTAGTACGTCATGGCGCGCTCTGGCGCAACTATGAGATGTATAGGGGCCTGCAGGATCGCGAGAGTCGGACGCGCGTACGGCCTTTGCGCCACGCACGCCTGATATCGCTGGGTCGTAGTCGATTAAGGCTAGATAGGTAAGTTTTTTTTGTTTTTCTTTACATTTCACGCCTTCTCTTTTCAGACGGTGAGCACATGTTGATGCGGAGGAGTTTAAGATCTGAATTAAGGTGAGGTGCAGGATTATGCTCAATACGGACTCAATATTGCAGACCTTCCATGCCTGCTGGTTGAGATGTTGGATTTTCTGTCCAGGCTGCCCTGTTACAGCAAACTGTTCTATTTCTATCGTCTATTCTACCTTATCTTGCATATTGCTTGTGATGATGATGATGATGATGATGACAATGATTATGATTGTGATGACGCGCATGATGCAAGATGAGGTAGAACAGACGTTGCAAATAAAACGGAGTTTCGTAACCGGGCAGGCAGGACGAAAAATCGAACATAATCGGACAGCCAGCACAGAAAACTCAACATTCTTCAAAGCAGGGGTGAAAAGTCCACAATATTGGCCCGTATTGAGCATAATCCTGCACCTCACCTTAATCTAGATCTTAAACTCCTCTGCACCAACATATGTTCGCCGCCTGAAAAGAAAAGAAGGCGAGAAATGAGAAGAAAAACAAAAATCTCACCTATCCAGCCTAAATCGAGTACGACCCAGTGACATACGACGTGCGCGGCGCAATGGCCGTACGCACGTCCGACTCTCGCGATCCTGCAGGCCCCTATAGCAATAAGTGAAAGGAGCCTGCAAGATGTAGACAAATCTTGTATCGTTTATTCGTTGACCGGCGCTATTCGGCTATCCGGGCCCCAAAATTTTTTTGTCATGGATTTCGCTCAAACTTGGCCCAGGGGGGTTATCTGACATGCTGATCACGAATATCACATTTTCTCCGCACGAAAACGCCTCCCTGCCGGGCTACGGTAGATATACGGTAGGGGGTCAAAATCGTAGATTTCGCTAAAAATCGGTCTAGGTGGGTTATTCGGCCCGCTGATGCTGAATATCACATTGGTTTTGTACCGTAGCGTCATTTTTTTGGATTACGGTGGGTATACGGTAGGGGGTCAAAATCTCAAAATCCGCTGTAACTTCGCACAGAGGGGTTATTCGACATGCTGATTAGAAATGTCACACTTTCTCCGCACGAAAACGTCTCCCTGCATGGTTACGGTAGGTTTACGGTAGAGGTCAAAACTACAAAACGGCAAATGTATCTTTCCCCTGTGCTTTGCTTAGGCAAAAGCGCAGCAGGGTGTGTAGCGCGCGGCGGCGGTCGTGTGTGCAAAGCTTCACGATTGTCTGAATCGCCGTACACGCGTTTCAGGCAGAACTATGTTTTACACCGGTTATCGTATAGCTACCGTAACTCGACAAATTGACGCTACGGTTTAAAACCAATGTGATATTTGGCATCAGCAGGCCGAATAACCCCCCCCCCCCTAGGCCAAGTTTCAGAGAAATCCGTAATTTTGGCCCCTTCCGTATACCCACCGTAACCGCAAAAGAAGACGTCCTCACGCGGAAAAAACGTGCTATTCGTGAACAGCATGCCAGATAACCCCCCTGAGCCAAGTTTCAGCGAAATCTACGATTTTGACCCCCTACCGCATCCTTACCGTAACCCGGCGGGGAGGCGTTTTCCTGCGGAGAAAATGTGATATTTATGATCAGCATGTCAGATAACCACTATGGGCCAAGTTTGAGCGAAATCCATGACAAAAAAATTTTGGGGCCCGGATAGCCGAATAGCGCCCGTTGACCGTAACGACTGCTGACCGCGCGGCGACCGCTGCGCGTGCATGATGTTTTCGTAGAAAAGATGAATAGAAAGAAAAGAGAGGATTCTTCTCATCTTTATAATGTAGAAAAGAAACAAAGAATTCTTCTCATCTTAAGCCACGGTCCAACTTGTCACTTTTTCGCAAGTTTAGAAGGCACGCGTCGCAGTCGCCACGCGGTCGGCAGTCCGTACGGTCAACGAATGAACGATACATAGTCTTCACTGAAAACTTACACTGACCAAAAAACTGCAAAAATTCATGTGGCCACATATCACATGTAGCTATTTTTACTGGCAATACATTTATATTGAGAGAACTTATGCGAAATACAAGGCCATCAAATGTTGCAAAGCATCGCTCTGACTCAGCAGCAGATTAGAGTATTTGTACTGCTTATGGATGTCAATACCGTTTGATAACACTCTTGATAAGGAAATGCAATTTGCACACACCGAATTGAACTGTTCCAAATAATATGACGAAATTTGATGCGTACTATATTCAAGAGCCAGAAAGGCTCCAGTGAGTAGCTATTATAGAGGGGATTAATTAATTAGGAAAAATACATTGAGAGAACTATATTTTGGAAAAAAAGTTTTCAATACTCTAAAAACAAGACGAGAAGTAAAGTTTTTGAACGTGCTTACTAAGCTACGAAATCGTTGTCGCGACAGCATTCCTTTAGTGAGACTGCAAAACTTTTACATCTTGTAAATGCAGTAAATACTGCCCTTGCTGTGTACCAAAAGTACTATGTGAATGGAGACAAATTTTGCGGACGAATGTCAACTAACACGAAAGTCATTCTGTTCTTTCCTAGAAATTTGATTTGAAAACGGTGTTTGAATCCTTAATGACAGTAACAACACTAGTTCTCACATTTCATTCTTTTCAAAGACAGCAGCCACAGTCCGTTCTCGTCCATTACGAAAATATTCAAACATCCTACTCTATATCGTTTACTGTATTGCTCAAAGGCAGTATCCAGGCTAAATCTACAGTCTCCGATTAGTACCTCCTGAATGTAGGCCCGAGAGGACACTGCGTTGGTCCGGTCCTCTAATGTTGTCTCTGAATGGATACAATGGACTCTGAACACCGAAAGTGCTATCAAGCCACGCCCAGATCCTATCAAGCTCCGCCCAGTCAGAGGGACCCGTCATACTTCGCCGAAAAAAGTCAGCCCAAAAAAGTCCAAGAAGCCCAAGAAAGCCCGAAAAGCTGGAGAACCTGAAAGAGCCCGAAGACCCCTTCCGTTTTGACGCTGAGGCATGTGTGCTGATTTCGCAAGCGAGTCTTTTTGCTTCATTTTCTGTCATCTGCACGTCAAAATAATGTCGGGATTCTACCAAAAGTTCGTTTCTGCGTTCCGGCTCTTTCGGACTTCTTCGGGCTTTTTTGGTTCTTTTCCGGCTTTTTTGGGCTTTTTTGGGCGCTTTTGGGCTTTTCTCGGCGAAGTATGACAGGATCCAGAGATGTCTCCCGACACGTATCCAAGAGAGTAAGCAGAAACGCTGTTGAAGCAGCCCCAACGCTTGCAATGCAACTCTTCTCATCTACCATGCCGACCGGGACGAGCAATCCAAAACTCGTCCGCACCCTCAAGACAGTGTTCTCAGGCGGAATTTTTGTAGGTGTTTTGGACAATTTGAACTTCATAACCGCAGGGTCCGATGGTTCCAGAACGGCAAAAACATGGGGGTGGGAGCGAAAGTTTGAATGGACGCTGCCTCCAACTGCGATTTAGAGATTCGAAACCGCTGACATGTCGTCACAATAAGTCTAGTCATGTCACAAATAAGACACTTGCGGTATCTATCCGGTTTAGGTTATCTGCTAGTTGAGAACAGAAAAGAACCACATTAAGATTGTTTAGACAATATGTGTAAAGCAGTTTCGATCTCTTAGGCACTCGCTATGTTTGATCAACTTGATCCGCTTGATCCGCTTCGCTATTGGTGTATTTACTGATTTGACCAATAGCGAAGTGGATGAAGTGGATCACGTGGACCAAGCGGATCAAGATGGCGCGTGCCATAATCACAGAATGGACTACACACAATCTATGCACAAACAATGCCTAAGTCAGGCCTTGTATGATCCAACTGCCGCGCGTACTCTTTGATTCATCGGGAGTGGCGGGTGAAAGGCAACCGCTTGCGAGGGCGCTACATACTTATTATGGATAGAGACTATAAGTGGCCGAAATGGGGCGTTCCCGGTCATCTGCGACAAACACGCCCCTTCACATGCATGGAAGTGCGTTTTTGCAGGGAGTCCGCTCGGAACCCTCCTACATTCGGCGACTATAGGCACCTGCCATACTTGATCCTCTTAATCCACTTGATCCGCTTGATCCGCTTGATCCGCTTCGTGCAAAACGCGCGCACTCAGCAGTCTGTCATTTGGCGTCGCGTACAGCGAATCTGCTTAACCATACGAGATTCCTTTTACCTACGAGGCGCCAAATAACAGACTGCTGAGTGCGCGCGTTTTGCGCGAAGCGGATTAAGCGGATCAAGCGGATCAAGCGGATCAAGAGGATCAAGTATGGCGGGTGCCATAGTCCTCTACCCGCTTGTTACCAGCGACCACCATTTCCATACAGTCTTTTTTAGACTTTCTAAAGGCAGTGCCCCGGCAGAATTTCGCTCTCCGTTTTTCACTTCTCCGGAGCCTTCTCACCATGCTGAAGCCATATCTGAGCTTTTCAGCGCTTAAAAACGACGCAAATGAGCTATATCCGAAGCTTTCCGTGTCCGCGTTCCAAATTACGTGTAAGAAGTGGGCGGAGCCTGGAAGAGGGCGGGGTGCGTAAGGCTTCCGAAGGGAATTTTGGGCTTTCCAAAAGTTCTTTTTTCCAGACTTCAATAATAGATTAGATGGAGGGTCTACCTTCGCAACACAGTATAATCCCGGTACTCATCATTTTGAGGGGACGCTGCCTTCAAGGAGTTTTTGTCAAAACATAATCTAAATTGTTGAAAGCAATAATATCATTGACGAAATTGAACGATTACAGTCGTTAGAAACGATTGGTCGCTTACATGGAGACGGATATACGGTTCATGTCGCCGGAGGAGTTGGTCCCACACATACATCTGCGACGAA